AATTTCCCTTTAAACACTCAATCTTGCCATTTTCTGGGGCACATGATGCGTGGCTCAAGTAATTTACCTTTTATTTGTAAATTTTTCTCCAAAAATCATAATTCACCCTCCAACAAACTATTCGGGCAGCCTTAATTGCCCGGAAAATATGTCCGTCCCGTCCACTAAAATTCTCGCACTCTCGGTGGCACGTATTAGACAGGGAGATATCTCGGCCATCCAGAATCACTTCAGCTGATGTCATTTTCTCTTCTCGGAAGTTATCTTTGCCAATCGAAGAGGATTTCTGTTCACCTAATCCGTCACGGTGCGAAGGGTCCTAATTCAGACAAGAGTGAGTATTTTATGGTGCTGCAGTGGCACCTTGACAGCTTTCATAGTTTGGATTTTTCCCAAATAGACGAGAGGCCACAATGCAGCAAAAGTCATGCTAGACTTCTGGGCACTTCTTTATTCATTATGCTTATGGGAAAAGAAGTGCTAATTAGGATTCATTCAACCAACTGCCTTTTATTTCTGTCCGAACTTTGCAGTTTATGATTGCTTCTTGAAATATTCCCCACCTACAGTTTCGAGACCTTATCGCCTGCCAGTCTCCTTTTTCAGGACATTCGCCAGAGCACCACATTTATTTGACCACTGTCATGTATGCTCCCAGTGACAGAATACTTAGGCTCATAAAAGGTGCATAACGGTCTCTCAGCCCGCAGTTCATTTGTTCAAAGCCTACTTTCTATGCTCGACCCGGTAAAAAATCACGTTGGGATTGCTGAGATGTGGAAGCGAGATCTAAACTGCAGTCAAACCATGAAAAACTAGTCATTTAAGAGGCGAAGTTAAGTGAGATTCAATGGCATTGTGAGGTCTAAACATCTGATTGTAGAAAAGCTCAACTATCAGTCTTTAAATCACCTTAAACGTCCCAAAGTTACTAAGTTCCTATTCAAAAGTAATCTCGATTTTCCAGCTTGTACCCATAAAATGACAATAATACATTCTTTACATGATAAAAATAAACTTTTTTCAAGAATTGCATTTGTGTTTAATCTTTTGCACCCTTTATTACCTCAATTTGATAATGGTTCTGATAGTGACCTGATAATTTGCGATGCAATATTGAAATCCTACACTTTTGGAAATTCACTATATCTGTATGTCTATTTTTCTATATATATATATAAGTCATCTATGGCAATCTAGTTCGCTCTGGTGTGCATAGCTGTGTTACGTGAATGAGAAGTATAAAAAACTCTCTGTAGACCAATTTTGGCTGCCTGTGAGTAATTACTGGAGGGAGCATAATTTGGTAAATGAAATATGTTCTTCGTATCCCAGATATGAGATTCCAGTCAAGCCAACCGTTTATTCGAATTCTGTAGGCAAATTGCTTATTGCACTTAGTAAAAAATATAGTAGACATATATTTTGGACACCTTTTGCAGACACTGAGATGGTGACATATTAGCACTGATGGAAGAGATAGAGATTGGAATTTTTGTGGAAACATTTTTCAGAAATGAGAATAACCTACATGTGGGAATTCATACAATAGACGAATGAGTATATTCGTTTAATAAGGGACTTTATGTGTTTTTGTCAAGGCTACAATCATATGTTGTAAGCAGGCTCTAACACTTTGAAATATCAAGGGATACATTTGTTTATATCGAAGTGGCCCGGCCTCATTTAGACAACTTTGTCGTGTTGTCAGGACGACCTGGCTGGAGGAACCTTAACTGAAGTCCTCTCCTATATTAGTTATAATAATTTCCAGCGTTCAACCGTGGATTTGATATATTTCCAAACGTTTCGCCGAGACACTTGGTACTAAAACTGGTAAGGCTCACTGACGACTCAGGCAAAATTTCCCGAAATTTACCACATCCACGTTACAACGTTGGAAACTTTTATAACTATTTCAAACAAAGGGTTCAGACAAGGTGTACTGACAACCCTACCAAGTTACAAAATGAGATCATATGGCATCTTTAAAGCAAAAGAAGACTGCGACCAATGCAGTTTCTACAACATCTTGGTCTTCATATCCTTAATATTATGTCCACTGTCTATTTGAAGCTATTCTAATGTAACATTAGTTACCTTGGAAATCAAATATATATTTGGAATCCATAACTGGTTTGATCTAAACTTAGTACTACAATATCCTATTATTTCATTATGAATAGGGTAGAATAAATTAATGGTTTTGACTGATTCTATGGAGCCAACGACCTGACTTTATCACCTGTGAATCTAGTCCTAACGTGATGAGCATGAAGAAGAATATTACAGACCAAATGGCGGATCCTGGTAGTTTTGTCAGTGCTTCTGGATAGGCAATAAACGCCAACCCAGGTCCTTGCTTCATTACAGCCACTACGTCGTGGACACCAGTGATGTAGGCCATGTGTCCAATCACCGAAAATATGGCAAAACCTCCATATACGCTGGTGGCGCAACATATCACTGGAATAAGCATAGCGTCTCTGAAAGATAAATACTTTCATAGAGCAAATTCAGCATTGTTGAATGAGCTAAGCTAGTGATTCAGCGGAGATAATTACTTTAAGCTAGCTCACTGCCAGTTATCTCTAACACTTTTAAGAAACATAAATATTTCACATTTTATTCTAAAAGTTGTTATCCAAAATTTAATAAAGATCTGTAGAGCTTACAATTTATTTGTAATTCACTCTTAGCGTAGATGCATTTTAAATAGATGCTCAGTCTAGCATCTACTCCTAAGTTATCAAATAAGCGTATTTACTATTAAAGTATGAAAAAAATTAAAAAATTCAACCTCACTAACTTTCTTAACTACCTTCCTTATTTTAAATTTGCTCCACCCCAAAAAATCGTGTTTCCTCTAAGTCCGCCAATATTTGCGATCACAAATATGATTTTGTTCGCAACTAGGCCTAGAAACTGTAAAATAATTATCAATATGCACCTTATTTCTTACATTGCCATCCAAGGACTCGGAGTACTGAATCAAAAATAGACGCACATAAATAGATTCATAGATTCATTTGTCTATTTTTCGTCATTATTTATATGTGTAGCATTTTTTCACCTTAGGATGTTATGTGTCACTTTATTGTAGGAAGACATTGTTATCAGCCCTCCCCATGCTGGTCCAAGGGAGTAGAATATCTGTTGAGCGGCAAGGTACCATGTCTGCATTTGCACAAATAAAAAAAGTGGAGTTTAATCATAGAGTCCAGTGGAGAGGAGGACATTTAAACACAGGTAAATAAGAATAAGATAGAGAATAGGATTTATGAATTAACTAAGTCCAGATATATTGACACTAGATTTTCGACTAATTCAATTAATTTTTTAAGACCAAACTGGGATGTCAAAACAACGAAAAGCTTTAAAATTTCCAAAGGCTTTACTAATACATTATGAATGTTTAGAAATAACCCCAATATGTGCACCTTAAACTAATATGAAAATGAGTTCGCAAGAAGTGCTAACTTGCTTTGCTCCTTGTCAATACACCTCATTCCAAAGGAGTTGATTTTCCTGATTACCAATGACCTACTGCTTTTATTACTTTTATACCATCCGGGACATTGAATGAATGTACCTTCAATTTCCCCATAAAGAGATTCTGACTGAGGTATTC